ATTTTAATAGACCACATATTCATGGGTTTCTTTTGAAAATGGGCCTGCAGTTAATATTTTTTGCCTCTTCCTCCCTCCAATATGATAGGCAAATATTCAACAATACAGTTCCTATCATAATTGCATTTCTGTACAAGAGTCAATAGGGATAGGAAATGCCTTAACTAATTTCTGAATAGTCATGAAATTGTTAAAGATGTAGGAGCACCTTTCAAATAAATTATGATATAATACAGTAGAACATAATGGGAAATCTATTTTCACACATTATACAGTAGTAATAGCACTACACAATAAAAAGCCTGTTTTGTGAGAAACACAGGTAGATGGCGTCATCTTTGGTAGTGGGGGTTGTTACTTGTCTGAGAAAGAGATCACAAACATTCAGATGTTGGCTTATCAAAGAAAGCCTGCACATTACCCCTCTTATTATTGTGTAAAAGTATGACTCTTATTTGCTAACCACAGGAAAGCCTGAATAAATTTATTATCTTTTCATGCCTGAATACATTTATTATCTTTTCCTTCAATGAACCAAAAACTGGAGGACATTGACATACATTTGAAGCCTTCCTTTAGTTGCAGGGAGTATGTTACATATAGTAAAAGGAATGTGGACATTATCAATGTCATGAAAACTTGCTACTTGTGTGGCAGTTTGACCTAGTTTAGAAGAATATTACACTGCAAAATAAGCAGTCCTATACTGGGTTGCCAATTATCAGAGGCTTCCACATTCTGTACAATTCAAAATTTATGGAGTAGGTCATATAACCCACACTGACATAAATTAGTAATTCCTGCTGGATTCAAAAAAATATATTTATCCAAATACATTTTAGCTTGATATTTTGTATACTTCAGCCAATCCATAATTTACTCTGAACTATTTCCCCCCCCCCCCCTAACTTCATTCTTTATATATTATGTTCTTTGCCTCAACTTGTTGAATTTTCTTTTTTCTTAACATTCAATCCTTTGAAAATATTTTTTTTCTAGGATCTGTTTGAGATTTACATTGTAAGGAAATGAACAACTTCCTCTTCTTTCATAAACAATCCCATAGCCATGCTATGCCCATTTTGTGTCATTACATCAACACAATCACTTGGTATCAGAAACTGCATGTTTCTGTCCTTACTAAAACAGAATCTTATTTGATCTGATGATTTGATGTTCTTTTGTTTTCACACTGGATTGCCTTGAAGCTGAGCCAAAGGGAGGAAAATCGTGATCTAAGCAGCTCTGGACGCAAACCCCTCGGTAGCTCTTAGTGTGACTAGCTAAAAGCATACAGTAAGAGATGCAGGGAAACATGTCTGTGTAAGACTCCGAGGAGCCATTGTCAAAGCATATAAAACTGAGCTGAGATGATGGAATTTTTTCCCCCTCTATAAAGAATGCAAGCACCCCGAGCCATCCCTGGCCATAATCAGCACCCTAATTTAGCCCAAATCACCAAATATCTCAGCTAAACTATGGTCCCATTACGGTCTTGGGACACGCGTCGGGCCCGACAATTGCTGAGTTTTTCCAGTCATGCTGCTGTCGGCAACTGTGGTCGGTGATCATTGGTGCTTCTTAGGGAACAGGCAAAGCAACCAACCATTCAGCATACAATAGCTAGCCCACCCACCCAATCAAGTGCTACGCAAAGGAAAGTGGGCTAGGCCTCGCTCACGTTCCTCCTTTCCTCCCCCACTTCTACTATAATACTACGGCGGCTCCGCTCCGAGGAATTTTGGCCCATCAGACTCAGCACCCGCTTGCCTTTGGTTGTAATTGTGCTCGTCATCGTTCTCACAATCGCTGCAATGTTGATGATTATTCTCCTCGCCTGCTGTCCCTTTCACCGCTGTCTCACTGTCGTCCGCCATCTTGGTAAAGGGAAGCCTCGTCGACTGACGCGGTTGCGCAGTGCCCAAAGCCAAATCGCGATTGGACGCTCAACTGCAGTGCGCCGTGGGATTTGTAGGCAACAGTGTAATTAAGAAACCCCTTATTAAAGCAATAAAGGGCGTGGGACTAAAGTACCCATGAGTCTTTGTGGAAAAAAGGTTCCCCAATACTAAGGTAGCTATCTCTTACCTCCTCCGGCTATCTTGCCAGCAGAGTTGCCCTAAATGACAGGGAAGATGGGAGTCTTACTTAATACTTACTTACTTAAAATTACTTAATTGTACCCCCAAATTTTGACCTGTTTATAGCAAGTAAAAATATTAAAAAATAATATTACAATAAAAAGTGATAACTAAAAAAGGCAAATGATCAATATAATATTAAACTCAATACAAAACACATCATAAAACTACTCAAATATCATTTAATCCCTAAATGCTGAACAGAACACAATCAACTTAATTGCTTTTCTAAAATTCAGCCAGATGGGGGCTGATTGACCCTCTAGAGGGAAGTTTTCTTCCATATAATGGAGTTCTAATTTTGAAATAACCTCATTCTAGATATGGAACAGTTTTTTTCAGGGACAGATTAAACCTATCTGCCTAGATTATTTTGTTTACTTGTTAGGTACTCTGTTGTATTTACTTGACAGTTTAATTATATTTCATTAGATTTTATCAAATTGTTTGAATTGTAGGTGATGTCCAACTATTATTCTCTTGTCCTCTATTTTAATCTTGAAACTGGTAGGTTTTTATCCAGTGCTTCAGAGCACTTCAGAACCATCTTCTTGGCCTCTGTGAGAAACAAAATGTTGGATTAAGATGGTTTTGGTCTGGTCCGGGAGCATTATTATGTTTTTACTGATCAAGAGGAAAAAATTCAAAAGCGAAAATACTCAGCAGAACTGAAGACATATTAGAATTTTTGTATTAATCTGCTTAATTATAATAAAGATATTTTTCCTGTGCTATTTTGGGATTTAGGCTTTAGTCCCATAATTTACCTAGAAGGTGATTCATTGTCAGCAGGACTCAATGCAGAGTGGATGGCAGGTATGAGGTTTATACTGAGCATCATTGTAACAGCCACTTTCCAAACAAACTGGCTGTGATGAAAATTAGTCTTGACAATTGTACCCATTTATTTAAAACTAGAAAAGGCATACATTAGTTTCATCTTAGAAATTGCTTTTATACCTAGGTTCATTCCCAATATTCTTGTAGGAAAAAAAGTGATTCTGATATTTTTGGATACATGTACATAATTTCAAACTCCACAAAAATAATCTAGGTTTTATATAACATTCTCAGCTATTTGCTATTAAGGAATAGGTCAACTATGTGAATGAATAAAATTCCTTGATCACGGTTAAGCCTTGGCATCAGAATTATGCAACAAAGTATATACATAATAGTTTTTGTATGAATATGAACAGAAAATAGTGTAGTCTATAGCCTTTATTAACCTATTGTATATAAAATGCACAAAATATGTTAAAGTGATGGATTACAATTTCTATAATTCCCAGTTCATGTAGTTATCAGAAAAAGATTGCACAAAGAAATTGTAACCAATGCATCTAGAAGATATAATTTGAGGAAACTAGTAAAGGGAATTGTACATAATTATTTTTCCTGAATCAATCAGTCAAGGTTTGTTACAATGGGTACATGTCTTTATATATCTAATAAATCTGATTCATTCTAATAATGCAATCTTAAACATTTACTCAGAAGGAAGGTCGACAATGGATTTATTTCTAGATACATTAACATTTTACCTCAACAGGTGGCACTAATGGACAAGCTTATTTTCTTTCTGAAACTACCATAAGAAGGGTTGAGCTTGTTTAACATTTAGATGGGAGACCTAGGAAGCCCAAACATTATCCTGGAAGAAGGAAATGGAAACTACTTCTGTATCATTGCAAGAAACCTGTATAGATGTTATCAGGAGCCAAGCTTGACTCAAAAGAAAAATAACCTGTAGATGGGAACAACTGCCTATTCATTTTGTAGAAAAACCCTTAATTCTTAACTTTTGAAGTTACCTTAAATATGCCCTTTCTGAAATCACTTTTATTTTATATGTAATTTTGCAAATAAAAACAAAATATCAATTATGAATATATAATTGTGACTATACCACATTACACAACATCTTTGACCCATTTTTAATTCAGTGCTATATATTATCGGACTGACTGAAATTATCCAAGGCTTTCAAAAGTTTTCCAGACCTCTCATCTATTTTTATACCCAATATGCCAATAAATTAATTATGTTTTTGTAACTAGCTTTCTTCATAGAGCTTAGTTTAATTATGCATGGTTACCTTCACAAATGTTATCATCTCAGTAGTCCCATAAAATTGGCTAGTCAAAAGTCATTCTATGAGTTTAATAACCTTGCAGGGATTTAAGCCATTGTCATTCCACTCAAAGTTAAAATCAAACAATATTTTCAACCCATGAGGAAACTATTGGCTTTGCTTTTGTTTTTTAGTTTCAAGTCAATTGCCAAAGGCATCTTTTCCCCTGAATAGACTTTACTGTGTATGTCAAATAACAAGACGAATTTTGTACTGGATTCTTCTTCAGAACCATCCTAGCTTAAATCATTCAAATGGACCTCAAGGAAATCCTTTTCCAACAAGTCCTTTGAGATGCAATGACCATGCAGGTTAGGAATTCCGAAAATATTAAAAGCCTGCAGGATAAATACGTTATCCCTAATTTTTTCCTATAATTAAGAATTCAAGAATTGGCCAATCTAATTGGGAAGACCAGGAATATTTCAACGATTACTATTTGACGAGGAATTACTTCCACCCAAAACCAAGCAGTGCTCCTATTGACTCAATAAGAAAATCGATTCTTAACTTTTATTAAACACAACGGAATTTTGACAAGAATATATCAACCTCAGTATCCCCTGCCGCTCTTCGCTTTTCTTTGCTTGGCTTCACACTGGAAAAGTCAAACTCAGTTTGGGTAGTAGGGATTGGATGGAATTCCCAGCGTGATTTCTTTCAGCCAATAAGGAATGAGAAAAGTGAAATGTACGTGAAGCCCAAGAAGTAATCCGTAGCAACCTTTCGAAATAGGGGAAGTGGTTGAAAGAATTCAGATCATCGGACGAGAACTGGAAGCCGTGACACAATCGTCATTCTTCTCTTGCATGGGAGAATAAGTTTCCTCCCCCAATTCCAGATACTGGTGAGGCATGGGCAGGATTATTGTGAACATAGGCAGAGTCGTTTCTCTCCTTGAACAATCGTAGTATTCAGTCCCTTAATTCTCCGTTTATATGAAAGGGATGACAGATTGGTGTAGTGATTTTAAACCCCAGCCCGCCCCCCTTTTTTTGTAGAAATTAAGGTGCAAATGGTACGAACTGTCATAGAATTGCGTGTACCTTTATTACATTTGAGGAAAGTTGCATTGTTATGTACCTGAACAATGCCAGTAATTGATCGGAATAAAGATACTGAAATCCGCACACACTTGTGTTGTAGGAGACAGTATGAGAATAATTTTCATTACCTTCTTCCGGGTTGTCTTTTCTATTTAATCCCCAGGAGAAAAATCAGCCAAGTTCGGCTAAAATGTACCATCCTGTGGGCGGATGGGTTAGAAGTGGTTTATTTAATAAATCCAAACCTTGAAACAAAAGATAATATTCATAGTAATACGTAAATTTGAAATATTAAGTTCCAGAAGTGGGGATCTTATTAACATATTTTGAGTAGTGCTTTCAGAAACTGTTTGGGGTGCTCTAATTGAAAATTGTTTTATAACCTAGCTTGAAGGACTTCAAATTTACTTTCCGTGCTTAACAGATTGCAATAATGATTTGGGAATAATAATATTTGCAATTCTTACTGGTATTGAAGAAGACAAATGGGCACTTGTCCCTGATCTGATTTAGAAGTTCTGAAACAAAGTGTTTGCTTTTCTGGGGCGGGGCGGGGGAGGGAAGGGGGGAAAAGCACTAGCAATATTATGGGTGGGGGAGTGAAATGAATGTGATTTCTATTACAAGACAGTTAACAGCTTGGGGAATAGACAACCTTTCTAAATTGTGCATGCCTCATTTGAAATATACATGGGTGACATCCCATTGCTTCTGTGGTGTGTAAAAGTTGGCAAAAGAAAAATATTTTTAATGCAAATTAATGAAGTTTACATGCAATGGACTATGTAGTTCAAAAAAGGAAAAAAGAAGAGAGATAGGAATTTTGAGATGCTTATCATGAGACATTTCTTTGGATGCCAAAGTAATTTTAAGAGACAAGGATGCCCCTAAAGAAGATAAGTGAATGAAACTATATTTTATGCATGGATTTAAAAGTTCCAAAGCAGTTTGGGGGCAATGGTTTGTAGTTTTTTAAATAGCTGGAATTAAGGTCTATAAAAGTGCTTTTTGTGCTGGATGTGCATTTGAATGTATGACAGAAAAGTAATTGCCAAGTTAGGTAAGTATGATAATAAATATACAGTATCTCTAAACTCATATTTGGTTTCATTTTTAAAAAGTGTACAAATTATGTCAGGCTTAGTATTTTCTTTCTTTTTCAGGACAAAATGTTTTTGGTGGGATTGACAGGTGGCATTGCATCAGGAAAAAGTACAGTAGTAGCTCTGTTGCAGGAACTGGGTTGTGCTGTAATTGATGCTGATGTTATAGCTCGGCAAGGTGAGTTTTCTATAAAGTTATTTGCTTGCAGATGAGTGTGATTTGCCAGAGAATCACTATTTAGAAATCCTATAGAATTCCAAATGGAGACATTATTGGAAATGTTTCCATATCTCTTGCTTTTAAATATGACATTTCACATGTCTTGGAACTAATGTACATATCACATTTCTCTTTTCTAACAGCCTCTAGTGTTCATCAGATCTGTGGGGCTAAGTTGGTATACTTTTGCCTTTGTACTAAATTCCATCTGAAGATTTTCTAACCATGTATGTGGATATATGTCTCTACCTCTCGTTCTCTACACCTATACTCCTCTCTCTCTCACACACACACACACATACACACACACACATGGTATTGACCCTGGGAAGAGGAGAAAATTTATGATGGAAAATAGCTTGGTAGAGGTAAAGGGTTATTAAAATCCTTTCTTCCTTATAAGATTCTTACCACTTAAATCCCATCACTAGACATACCACTGTCTGAGGAAGAAAATCTGCTGGGTATTTCACCTTTTTAACTCCTTAATTTAGTATAAAGATTAGCCTTAAAAATCCTTTCTTTGAGGGTTGGGAGTAGATGAGGGAATTTATTTTATTGGACCATAGTTGAGGCACTTGCAAAAAGAACTATCTGACTTTATTCTCTGTGTTTATTTTGCGATTTTCACTTGCTCATCCCAAAGTAGAATATATGACTGATTTATGACAGTATTTTTAATCATTTGAGACATGTAATATGAGAAAGAAAAATGCTACATACCATGAGACTTAACTGTAGAATTAATTGCCACAAGATATTATGACATGTGTTGGCATTAGAGCCTTTTTGAAAGGCATATTTCAGATGCTGCCTTGAGAGCAAGAAATGCATCCTGACCATTCAATTCCAAATTGCTGATGATGAGATGAATGCAGCCATCCATTGCCTTGGATAAATACAGTATTTCTGCAAAGAAAAAAAATGCCATTGAGATGTATGATTGTCCTATCCCATCAGACCAATTTCTGTGCTTTAATTTGGTCTGTGATCTGTGAATAACTGCTGGAGGTGCAGCAGGATTAATACAACATTTGGAAGAGAAGTATGTTTTTAAGTAGGAAGCCTCATTCAGAAGATAAGCAGATTAAAAATTGGATTAATAAGTAAAGGTTTTTTTTCTTGCCTCCCTTCTTGCCAGCTGAAAGTCTTTGCAAAACATGTGGACCAACTGAATACTGACCCTTTAAGAAATATTTGGTGGCTCTTCCTGCTATAATGTTTTCTTTCCCCAGTGGTCCAGCCATACTTCCAGGCATATCGACGTATTGTGCATTCCTTCGGTCCAGAAATTCTTTTGGAGAGTGGTGAGATCAACCGTGAGGCTTTAGGAAATATAATTTTTTCCCAACCAGAAAAACGTCAATTGCTAAACTCCATCACTCATCCTGAGATCCAGAAGAAGATGTTAAAAGAGATCTTGAAATACTTTGTCTTGGGTAAGCAGCTGGAGAGTTGATATTATTTTGTAGAATCCTTGGGGCACTCCTCCTGCTGACAAAAATGATAATATCTCTGTTGGCCATGTGTCCATTTTATTATTCTATGACAAGGGAAGAAAGAGCTGAAAAGGCAACTTTGCTGGCTCCCTTTGGGACATATTGTTTGCAATCACCCTTTTACTGCTTGCATCTTGAGGATTCTCTGTTCTTCATACTTGCCCTTTGCATTTTTAGTCCCTTAATGTGGTTTTAAAGAGCATACACAAAAGAATCTTTAGGCAGCATTGTGCATAGTGTCATGCTTCCTGAAATGCTCACACGTTTCTCCAGTACCCCAATTCTCCTGATAATCTTCTAAAAGCACTCTTTGAATTTGATAAGATAAAATAATGGCTTGACAGTTGGGATTTCTGCAGTGTCTTTATATTTTTCCATTTACTTTGTGATAACAGTGACAACTACAGCCATCAAACCAGTCTAATCCAGTAGGGTCCAAATCGCTCTACAGAGGATGTTATTTCTTCTGTTCTCCATATGAGCTTGGTGCACTTAGAGAAAGAAATACCTATGTGTGGATGCTGTTTGTCAATTTCAGTTTGGCATTTAATACAATCATTCCTCAGTATCTAGTAGACAAACTGGGCTTTTTAGGCTTTAATACTCCTTTGTGCAACTGAATTCTTGATAGGCCCAGTATGTGCAAGTTGGGACTAATATTTTTAACACCACTTTCTTGAGCACAGGTTTTCCTCAGGGCTGTGTCCTAAGTCTGCTGTTGTTCACCCTGTTGACCCATGATAGTTGGTCAAGGTTTTCCCCCAACCATATTGTGAAGTATGCAGATGGGCCTTATTCAAGATGACTATGGGGGTGCTTACTGCAAGGAGGTAGGGTTTGGTAAACTGGTGTAATTAAGCATTGTCTTAAACATAAAGGCAGGCACAGCCACACACTGTGTATTAATTATTCACCTGTGGAGGTGATTAGCAGCATGAAGTTTCTGGGTGTTCAGCTAACGAGTAGGGTAGTGAGACACTAGTGAAATGGGCACAGAAGCGCCTGCAATTTCTACGTCACATGAGAAAAGTACATGTTCCTTCCCCTGTCCGTACCACTTTCTATAGAGGGACGATTAAGATCATCCTATCATATTGCATTACAGTCTGGTTTGGAAGCATTACTGATGCTGACAGGAAGAGAGTGGGGAGGATGGCAGAGAAGATTATTGGCAGTTCACTTCTGTCTATTGAGGACATAGCATATAAGCAAGATTTACAGTATTGCTTGGGATGCTACACATCCTCTTCATGACCTGTTTTCCTTGTTACTTTCTGGGAGGAGGCTTTGTGGTATCCATCTAAATTCAGTCACAGTTTTGTTCCATATAATATCAACCTTGTGAACTCTCAAGTTTCCTCTTTCCACGATGTATTCAAAATGGACAGTGATTAATATGTGTGTGTGTGTGTGTGTGTGTGTGTGTGTGTGTGTGTGTGTGTGTATGGGTGTAGTATGTATATGTATGTAGCATGTGTATATGTGTGTTATGGGTAGATATATACTTTCTTTTGAGAGCAGGCAACAGAATATGATCCAGTGTGCTCACAAGTAAAAAATGACAATAAAAGCTATCTTAACTTACCAATATTATCAATGGCTGCTTTGGGGTCTTTATACAAAAAAAGGACCTGGCGCTTATTAAGGGCAAATAGAGACATAGCGAGGCTATGATCTTCAATTTCTAAGCCCTACAAAATTATAAAAAAGAAATGTGTGAGAAAGAAGGAAAGAAATGACCGCCTTGAGACTCCCATTCTCCCTTTTTTTTTTAACCAAGTAAAAATTATGAAAATTATTTGGAGTAGAGTAATTTGGGCCTCCTTATTCAAATCTGTAGTAATCAGAGTGTATGGTATTTTATCAAGAGTTTCCTAAGGGAAGAAATAAATAGGCCTAACTCCCCAAATCTATAGCCATCAATAATGCTTTCTAGAAAACAGAAAGGTCACTTGGAAAAACCAGCAAATATAGTTGCTTGTATTAAATATATCAATAACTGGGAACAATGATGAACCCAAAAACCTTTTGGGGTACAGATTTGTGGGTAAGGGAAGAGTCATTTGTTTGAGAAGGACTTAAGAGGCAGCAGTGGACTCTGTTAAAATGTGTAGAATGACCACAGATAAGGGAATATTGCCTGTATAGCTAAAACAGATTGGCATGAGACTATAATAGTTTTATTTAGGTATCTGAAATATAACGTAAAGGCGCTTCATCTGTGGACCATATTAAAAGACTCTGAGATACAACAGTGTCAGCTAATGAGGAACTATGCTCTACACTGTCAGACGTATTAGAGGCTTAATCAGTAGCCATGAAAAACAAGAATCTTATGTTATGTTATATTTTCCCATCTTGTGGAAGGAGGAGTCCAAGACTAAGTCCAAGTCAATCACATCTATTCTATTAAGGTGGGAAATACAGTGGTGAAGTTTGGAGAGTAGACAATGAGGAAAGAGCTGCTGCAAGATATTCAGTGAAAACTTGACTTGATTTCTAAGGCTATGAAATATCAAGCAAAGGTCAATGTGGATGTCACTGCCTAAATCACAGACAAGCCCACTGCCTTGATTTCAAAAGTCTGTTTGGAGAATTCTACTTCTATGCCTGCAGCAGCATGTTTTCCTCTACCTAGTTATACATTGCCTCCCACTTTCCTTCTATTGAATAAGGAGGGAAAGAAGAGATTCCAATCAGACTTTCTTTATGTCTCTTCAGCACATGTGTACTCTCTGTCTTTTTTTTAGGTACTTTCCCAAAAATTCTGGGTTGATTTGTTCAATGATCCATTTATTTGATTTCTCGGCTGTCCACAGTATTCTCAGGATTTTTTCCCCTTTACTCAAGTTCAAAATAATCAATATGCTTCATTACCTGAGTCTTCAAGATTTGTTTCCATAGCATGTCAAAGAAAATGTTATGGCTTGCCTAATTCTGATCTTTGTAAATATAGACACATCACAGCATTTGAATAACAATTTTGAAATCTTCATGACCAATTTGTCAGGTGCTGGTCTGCAGTGTATTTAATGACTGCTTATTCCTATATTGCTGACGGTTAATATTGCAAGGCAGAATCTATTCACCAGTTTGCTTTTTTCGTTGACATTCCTACGGCTGGTTATTCTGCCTGTTGTCATTAGTTTGGTCTTTTTTATATTTAATTTTAGTTTCATTTTTTTCACTGTGCTCCTTGACTTTTATTACTGGAGCTTATAGATCTTTTGCTTTTGCAAAATTTGCTAATCTGTCAGGTTAGTGTGATCTGTATAGTTCAGATTATCCTTCTTTCTCCAGTTCTAAAACCATACTTATCTTTTTCTAATCCATCTTCTGTATATATACAGTCAGCAGGTAGGTTGAATAGATAAGGGAATAGAACAAAACCTTGTTACACTCTTTTGCCATCCTGGAGCCAGTCTGCTTTTGCATCTTCTGACCCATCATCTGGCTTCCTGATCTGTACATAATGAGGACTGTGCAGATTGTTCAATGACGACCACAATGTGGGACGAGGCACTTAAAGTATGTCCAGGCAGGCAGACCGAAAGCACTATGGAATACAGGTGGATGGGGGGGGAACAAATCCAAGACCTCGGTGCCTTCCGCCGTGCCCTTAAAACTTTCTTTTTCCAGCAAGCCGGGCTGGCCTAACACTTTTTAAATGTTTTAATTGGTTTGTTACTGTTTTTAATTATGGGGCCAAATTTATATATATCTTTTAATGGTATTTTAATATTTGTAGTCTATGTTTTTACGTGGCTGTACACCACCCTGAGTCCTTAGGGAGAAGGGCGGTATACAAATTCAAAAATAAAATAAAATAAATAAAATAAAATAAACAAGGGTATGGGCAGTCATTGACTTTGCTTGTAGAATGCAGGCAGGGAAATGCCAATCATGTGACCATGGGACACTCTCGTAATTGTGAATCATTGCCAAGCACCTGAATTGTGATCAGATGACCACAGGGAAGCTGCAATGGCTATAAGTTGACAGACTGGTTGTCATTCAACAATATTGTAATGCTGAACAAATGGTCATATCTTAGGACTGCTTGTATGTATTTGCAGCATCATGCACGAAAAGTTTACTGCTATTGAAAAAATGTTTCTAATAAAGGATTTATTTAATTTAATTTAATTCCAGGCTATCGATATGTGATTCTTGATATCCCGCTCCTCTTCGAGAGCAAAATGCTGACCAGATTCATGAAGCACACAGTTGTTGTGTATTGGTAAGGAGAGAACTCCTCTGGTAAGGAGAGTACTGGAGAATACTCTCAGTGCTAATGATTTAGATGGAATGAAAGTCAGAGAATGGGCTAAGTACCATATTTTTTGGAATATAAGACGCACCTTAGTTTTTGGGCAGGAATATAAGAAAAAAGCTGGTTGGCAGGTGGATCTACCTCCTGGAATACCCGCAATCAGCTGTTCCTAGAGTTGAATTTTAGCAACATGTTCCTTGGTTGTGAGCTCTGTGCCTTGCTTTATTTTGCTTTTTTTTTCTGCCTCTGAAAGCCTCCGAAACAGAGCTTCAGAAAAAAAGCTCTGAAGCTCTGTTTGGGGGCTTTTTTTCTGAAGCTTCATTTCTGATGCTTTTTTCAGCCTCTGAAACCTCCATTTGAGAAGCTGGGCAGGGCTACATTCAGAGTATAAGATGCACCCAGATTTTCACCCTCTTTTTTGGGGGGAAAAGATGCGTCTTATACTCTGAAAAATACGGTAATGTATTGTTTTCTTTAAATGGAAGTAGGAATAAAAGGCATTTCCATGTAACTATTAAAAGACTATTTAACCCAGGGTAGAGTTGAAAAGCCTATGGGTCATGGAATTGTCCTTAAGAGTTGAAGGGCTGTTGAAATGGAGTAGAGTGATTTGTGGTCCTTCCAGGAAATTGCAACTGTTATAATAAAGCTATGTGACCTGAGCTCTCTTCATCCGATTCTCTGCATTTCAGTAGTTTTTTGAATGAGAAGCTTCATCTATATGGTTTTCAGATCTGGCATTAGAATTTCAGTCTATTTTCAAAGGCAGGGTCTTTCAATGTAGCATACTAAATGCATACTGTCTTTTGAATATGGATTTATTCATAATCTATATATATAAAAGCAAAAAGCATCACAAAATCTCCAGAACCGTAAAGTCTATAAACTTGAAATTTGGCACATATGTTCCTCTTGATTCTAGCTTGGTGCTTGCTTAGAAAGGATTTTTCAAAACAACTATCAAAGCATTAGTATTTCTTATATTATTATTAACACGCTCTGATGCTAAGGAGTTAGGCGTTCTACTCCCCCTATCCACCTGAAAATAAGTCTGTTCCAACTGCCACTTGGATGTGGCCAGTGCGTGACTCATCCAGCCTGCAGGCTGGGAGTTTGGAGAGTATCAATGGGGCCAGCCTGAGGGAGAGAAGGGGATAAGATACGAGAGGCCTCTGAGGGAGAGAAGGGGATAGGAGAGGATCAATGGAGCAAGCCTGAGGGAGAGAAGGGAATAAGATAAGAGATGCCTCTGTGTGGCAAGCATGAGGGAGAGAAGGGGATAGGAGAGGATCAATGGAGCCAGCCTGAGGGAGGGAAGGGAGATAGGAAAGGCCTCTGTGGGGCAAGCCTGAGGGAGAGAAGGGGGATAGGAGAAGAGAGGCTTCTGTGGGGCAGCTTGAGAACAGAAGGGGAGAGGAGAGGCCGATCATAGCTACTCATTAATTTTCAAGCTGAAAGTGTCAATTTATCAAGCCCGATCACATAGTTTCATAGTGGAGCACGGGTATTCATCTAGCGCATTTATATGTTCCAGTCGCCACTTGTTTCATTTTATGTATTTCTGTAGTTGGTCGGGAAGGAATTTGTATTCCTGTTCCTCCAATTACTATTGGTCAGAACCTACAGGCCCCATCATACTACAAATGGTCATAGGAAAAGCACATATCTGCTCTAATGTAATTCATCTTGTTTCTGCAAGACCACCTCTTGATATCTAAGGAAATAAGGCAGATGGACAGGAAAGCTGTCCATTGACAAAATTATTTTAACTAAGTTTGCACAGAGGCAGCATATCTCATTTTCCAGTCCATCATCTCATGGATATGCTGAGCTTTCTGAAGGTTCAGACCTCAAGACAGTGGTGCGTTATGGTGGAGTAACTGAAACATCCTGCTTCCTGAGTTGGGCATTCTTTTAGTCACTGCTTTGTACTTACATATTCTAGCTTTTTATTTATTTATTTATTTTTTATTGAAAAAGTTTTACAACAAATACAATTTCCCCACAACCCCCACCCCCCTCCCCTTCCCCGACTTCCCAGAGCAGAACACAAGGTATTTCTATTAAGCTTTAACAGTAAACTAAATTGCATAACCAATTATGCTAACACCCCTAAAAGAAAAATTCCCTTAACCCCCCATATATGAAATCCTATTTCTTAAACATAATATTTCTAATATCACTTATATAGCACTTGTACAAATAATAAGAAAAAAAAAATCATTCGTAAGCTATTTGATATTTTTTGGTCTGATACTTATTTTGTATATAATCAATCCATCTTCTCCAGTCCTGTATATATCTTTCTTGTGTGTGATCCTTCAAAAATGCTGAAATTTTAGCCATTTCAGCTAAATTAGTTACTTTCAATATCCAATCATCAATAGTAGGCAAAAAATCCTTCTTCCAATGTTGTGCAACCAACAATCTTGCTGCTGTTATCAAGTTCAAAATCTATTTAGTCTCTGCAACTGTACAATCTGTGGTTATACCCAATAAAAACAACTGTGGAGTAAATTTCAGTTTCTTTTTAAGAATATTCTGCATCACCCACCAAATCTTTATCCAAAATGCTTTGATTTTTCTACAAGTCCACCATATATGATAATAAGTTGCGTCATCACAGTCACATCTCCAACATTTAGCTTGCACGTTAGGATACATACATGATAACTTTTTGGGATCTAAATGCCATCTATAAAACATTTTGTAAAAGTTTTCTCTTAAATTTTGTGCTTGTGTAAATTTCACATTTCTAATCCAAATCTTTTCCCAAGTCTCCATCATTATTGGTTCCTGAAAGTTTTGTGCCCATTTAATCATACAGTCTTTAACCAATTCCGTCTCGGAATCTATTTCTAATAAAACATTATACAACCTTTTAATATGCATTTGTTTTTGATCTCTAATTTGTTTTACCAAATTCTCCTCATTTTGCACAAAGCCAGTTTTTTGATCTTCCTTCCATCTAGCTTGAAGCTGACCATACTGAAACCATGTATAAATTATACCTTCTTCTCTCAACGTATCTAGAGATTTCAAGTACATTACCCCCCTTTCCATAGTAAGAAGCTCTTTATAAGTAATCACCTCCTGTTTTTGTTCTATACTTATATTTTCTATTGCATGTCTAGGATTTGCCCATACAGGTATCTTGTAATTTAACTTATACTGATATTTTTTCCAAACCCTTAACAAAGCATTTCTTAATATATGAACCTTGAATACTTTATCCACTTTTTTATCATATAACAAATAAGCATGCCATCCATATAACAAATCATAACCTTCTACATTCAGAACTCTACCCTCAGTTAGATTAAACCAATCACTAATATGTGATAACACCGCTGCTTCATAATACAATCTTAAATTAGGCATTTTAAGACCCCCTCTTTCACGTATATCTTGTATAATTTTCATTTTTATTCTGGGTTTTTTCCCAGCCCAAATAAAAGTATTAACACCTTTCTGCCATACTTTTAGATTTTCGTCTTTCTTAAGCACAGGTATCATTTGAAATAAAAATAAGAATCTAGGTAAAACATTCATTTTAATTGCTGCAATTCTTCCCAATAAAGACAACTGTAGTTTTTTCCAATTTTCCATATCCTTCTGTACCTTCTGCCAAAGTACCTCATAATTGTTTTTATATAATTTTGCATTTGAAGCTGCTATATATACCCCTAAGTATTTAACCTTTTTAACTATTTCAAAGTCTGTCAATCTTACTAATTTATCTCTTTCCAGTATAGTCATATTTTTAACTATCATCTTTGTCTTATATGGATTAACTTTAAATCCTGATACTTTCCCATATTGATTGATTAAATTCAATATATGTGGAGCCGACTCTATAGGTTGGGATAAAGTAATAACCAGGTCATCTGCGAAAGCTCTTAATCTATAGTCTTGTTGTCTAATTACAATACCCTTCACTTTTTCTGAGTCACGTATCTTATTCAATAATATCTCCAAAGTCAAAATAAATAATAATGGAGACAGAGGACACCCCTGCCTTGTTCCTTTCTCAATTTTAAAAACCTCTGTTAAACCTCCATTAACTATGATTTGTGCTGTTTGCTGCTGATATATCACTCTAATTGATTGTATAAAATATTCCCCAAAGTGCATTTTCTCTATTATTTTAAACAAAAATTGCCAGTTCAAACGATCAAATGCCTTCTCTGCATCCAAAAATATAAACGCTGCAGGGACTTGATTATTTTTTTCCAAGTATTCCAGTAAATCTACGATTTGTCTAACATTATATCTCATTTGTCTCCCTTTTATAAACCCTGATTGATCATTGTGAATTATTTGTTGCATAACTGGCATTAATCTATTAGCTAGTATTTTAGCAAAAATCTTATAATCAGTATTCAAGAGTGAGATTGGCCTAAAATTCTCAGGTTTAATGGAATTATGATCCTCCTTTGGGATTAGTGAAACAAAGGCTGTTTTCCAAGAAGGTGGTACTCCTCCTCCTAGTTGTATTTTATTAAATAAAATTTTAAGTGGTTCTAACATTTCAGATTGTAGATGTTTATAAAAAACAGCTGTTAATCCATCTGTTCCCGGAGCTTTACCTATTTTTAATTGTTTGATTGCCTCAACTATTTCCTCAGAAGTTATTGGCTGATTCAATCTCTCTCTCTGCTCCAACGTTAATTCAGGAATCTCCATCTTTAAATATCTATCAATATCACCATCTTGAATTGAGTCTTTAGCATATAACTTTGTATAAAACTCCAAAAAAGCCTTTTTTATTAAATTCTGTTGATAAATCTCTTTACCTCTAAATTCTATCTTATCTATGACACGTGATTTCTGTTTTTTCCTCATCGTATAAGCCAACCATCTCCCAGGTTTATTAGCATTACAAAATGTATTATGTCTGGCATATTGTATGCTAGTTGCTACTTGCCCAGCCATTAACATATTAAATTGCTCTCTTAAAATATTAATCATATCTTTTGCCTTTTTATCTCCCGGGTTATTTATAAGCAGTTGTTCTTTCTTTTTAATTTCCTCCTCTATCTCTTTTCGTCTATTTTGTTGTTTTAATCTATGTTTATTATTCAAAAAAATTAATGTTCCCCTCATATATGCCTTACACGCATCCCATACCATCTCCATCGAGGTTCCTTTATTCATATTATTAATAAAAAATTCTTTCAATTGTTTTTTAAGCTCAAAGAGATTATCTTCATATCTAAATAAGTTCTCGTTTAGCCTCCAAGACCTCCTTTCCCCTCTTTCCTGCTCTAGTTCCACCCAAACCGGACTATGATCAGTTAATGTTCTTGGACATATCTTCGTACTCTTCACCCTAGAAAAAAGATCATTTGTAGTTAATATAAAATCAATCCTAGAAAAAGATTGATGCCTATCTGAAAAAAAAGTAAAATCACTCTCCAACGCATTCCTTTCTCTCCATATATCTCTGAGTTCGATATCCTCCAAAATATCAAAAAAAGATTTAGGCAACTTGGCACGCATGGTGGTCTTGGAAAGACTTTTTTTATCCTTCTGGGTATTTAATACCCCATTCCAATCACCCATTAAAAGTAAAGATCTGTAATCCCATTGTAAAATTTTGGTATGTAAAAGTTTGTAAAATTTTTCTTGTTGTTGATTAGGTGCATATACTCCAACTACTAGCATCTTCCCATTCTGTGTTATTAATTCAATTGCAATATATCTACCTTGAGTATCAGCCTCAATTAAATTAGCCACTAAGCCTCTTTTAACATATATAACTAGGCCATTTTTCTTTTCTGGTGCTGAAGCCACAAAATGTATACCTAATTTCGAATTTATCAAATACTTTTGATCTGAAGATTTAATATGAGTTTCTTGCAAACAAATAACATCGTTCTGAAATTGTTTCAAGTAGTGAAATATTTTCTTTCTTTTTTGTGGAGAATTTAAACCATTGACATTCCAGGATAAAAATTTATTTGCCATCTCTGGGCATTCCAAGCTTTGAGAGCATCAGCTGAACCTCCTCCGCCATCTTAGATTTCGGCCTAGCTCCTCCCACTGCTTGTGTTTTTTGGACTTGTTGAGTTGGATCTTGAGGTTGTTGTGCCAAATGTTGTTTGTAAGTAGCTCTTGTAATTCGTTGATCTTCTGGCAGTTGTATCTTCGTTAGTGCCTCAAGGGTTGGTGGTTGACCCCCACTCAGTAATGGATCTTCCAAGTTAGCTCCTCCAGCTAGTGCTTGAGCATAGGTTTGTAGTTGTGCTCCACCTTTCTCTTGCTGCGTAACTTCCAATTGCTTTCCAGCACCCCCTGGTGAGGGTGGCCTTCCAGCCTTTAAAATATTAGCATAAAAGTCTTTTGCCTTTCCAACTGTGTTTAAACGATGCCTTTGCCCAGCATATGTCACTATTATCCCAAATGGGACGTCCCATCTGTACTGGAGCTGTTGATTTCTTAATTCGTTCACCAAAAAACCAAACTGCTTTCTGTCTCTTAACATTTTAGGAGGAAGCTCTTTCAAAACCACCAATTCTTGTCCCTCCACTTTAATCTTATTTCTGTAAGAGGCTTGCAAAATGTCATTTCTAAATCTCCTTGTTGTAAAATAAATCACCACATCCCTTGGTAGTTGCTTTTGTTTTGCCAGCCAGGAATTAACCCTGTAAATTTTGTCCATTTGGAATGCCAAATCTTCTGGCCTTTCTGAGATCAGCTCTGCTAAGGCGTTGGAACAAACATCTTTTAAATTTTCACCACTCTTCTCTTTCAACCCTCTCAGCCTCAGGGCAAATTCCATTGATCTGTACTGTAACATGACCATCTCGTCATCCACTTTCTCTGTCTGTGTCATAATCTCTCCTACTTTAGCTTCAAGATCTAAGTTAGCATCATCAATCTCCCGTACTCTCTCCTCAATCTTTAACATGTGAGTAGCCAGCCCTGAAACTGCAAAAACAATGTCATCTCTTATTTCATCATGTTTTTCTTTCACCACGTTTGTAAGTTTCTTTAACTCCTCTGAGAATCCTTTCATCATTTCTGCCTGATTGTTCAGGGCACTCATTATAAATTCTTTAAGGTCTTGTGACTGTGCATCAGCCGGAAGTTGTTGTTTTGGAGTCACTACAGGAGAGCCTCCTCCCCCTTTAGAAGTTGGTGGCTTTAGTTGTTTAGCAGCCATTTTTATTTTAAAAAGAATTTTTCCTTTTTGCAGCCAGAAAGTCTTATAAGCAGTCTTACAAAGTGTATTTCAAAGTTTTTCCAAAATAAACAGTCCTCTCTTCCAACTGTAATCAATCCCCAGCAGTTTATTCTTCAGGCAAAGGGTTCTTAACAAGCAATTTCCTTTTAACTTTCACTTTCCCTTCCGCCCTTAACAAAGGCTTCCTCTCCAGCCTCCAGCTCAAGAGAGCTCCGTTTGCAACAATGTATTCACGGGGTTAAGCTCAGTTTATTATTTAAAGAGGCTTGCACTCTTGCTTCCGCTCTGTCTGCCTTAAGAAATCATTAGAACTCACTGTTTGCCGGCAGAATTGGACGCAGACGTCTTGCTCTGTGAATCAGAGGCACCAGCGATCCGGAGCAAAGGGAGGGGTGAACTGGGGAGCTCTCGCCCTCCGAGTCCCTGGAATTAATCCAGTGACAATCGGGGAGCTCTACCCACCCCCTCCGACTCTCCTCTCCTTCTTTGCCCGAAGGAGAGTTTTTTCAAACCGCCAGACAGCTGTTCAGCGCTGTCAGGGCGGTTTTTTACAGATCGGGTGGCTGGCGGTCTATGGAGACCGTCTTCGAACGTCTGCGGAGCCACCGGAAGTCCATATTCTAGCTTTTATGTGCATTATAAGACTAAGGCATTTGAGACTTGAGATGGGTGTTGGAGGTAATGTTTTAATTCTTTTATCTGTTATGTTTGTTATACACGCTGCTGTTATTCCACTATTAGCAACTTCTCTTTCTCTGCCCCTCGGTGCTCCTGACTACAGTACTTTATATCTTTTGCTACTGCAGAATGTTTAACTACGGGGGGGGGGGGGGGAGAATAAAAGTATGATATTTTGAGATTGTTTGGGGAAAAGAGGGTGGGGTAAGGAACACTATTAATTTCTTTCATACCAGAGACTTCAGTGGAAGGCTTCATAAAGGAGATTTCATTTATCTAAGAAATCTGTCTTATATTTCTTGTGTGACTGAGTTTGCGGGAAGTGCTAAGTTGTAAACCATTGTTAACAAAGCATATTGGGTAAGTTAATGCAACACACCAACACACCAAAATCAAGCCAACCACATTATACCTTGGGGAGATGTGTGAAATAAGTTTTGGTCATGATGAAGTGAAGACAACATAAAGAATATTGGAAACTCTTGAAAGATCTCCAGTAGCTCGAGTCTAAGAAATAGTGGTTAATTTCTTCTGCTGATCAATTGTTACTGTTGGGAATAGTACAAAGGGAGGGTAGTTAAAGTTTTCACCACTACTACCATTAACAATGAGAAACTTAATCAAGGTTGTTGCTTCGTGTGCACTAATAACATTGGGGAAGCATCTGTCTTGCATGCAGTGGGAAGGGAGAAACAAGTTGAAAGCTTTTCTTCTCTCAGTGATCCTGGTCTAGATGAACATTATAGATACAATTTGGAGAAAATTCTATTTTAATTGAATTCATTTTCTTCTCTTCTATTAGTGACCCACAAGTCCAGCTGTCTCGCTTGATGCAGAGGAATGGGCTGACTCAGACAGAGGCAGAAGCACGCATTTTTGCCCAGATGCCCCTTGCTCAGAAGGTCAACTTGGCTGACCATGTCATTGATAACTCAGGAGATGCTGAGGCCACTAAGAAGCAAGTCCTGAAATTACATACAGAGTTGGAGAACTCCTTGGAGTACCTTGTGGTGCGCTTATTGGTTGTAGGAGCAACAGTGGGAGTGGGAGGCCTCGTGTACTTTCTAGTGCAGCAGCTTGCGTGATAGACTGTTCTTTCATTATCAAAGAGGGCAGAGGAAATCTAGACCTTTAATTTAGATTGCATTGCATTTATGCATAAAAGATTGATAATGGGACAAGAAGGGATTTTAGTGGGGACTTGGATTAGTAAGTGGACCGCTGGGTTAGCGGTGGTGATTGGGGAACAGTACATTAATTTAATAAGCAAAGAATTTAAGTGCTGTTCTCATATTAGTTTTTGGAATGAGAATAACTGCAAGTTTCTTTAAAAAAAAAACTTACCGTTGGATGAGATCTGCTATTAACCATCCCTTAGAAACATTTACTTTTGTGGCTCCTTTAAAGATAGCAATAGCATTTAGACTTATATACCACTTCACAGTGCTTTACAGCCCTCTGTAAAGCGGTTTACAGAGCCAGCATGTTGCCTCCAACAATCTGGGTCCTCATGTAAATCAACATCCATTATTACTTCTGTAGGAGTGGGTGAGCAGTAAACATAACCCAAACACCTCCTACAAGGAAATAAATCAAATCTGTAGCTTTTCACTAAGACCTTATGCTGCCTCATATTGTGCAATGTCTTTTTATTAAAATGAATAATTTTAATAAACTGAACTCAGTGTTACACAACCAGCTTATCTTCAAATATAGATTTTTTATTGAACATTATAACTATCAGTCGAAGAGGTAATGTAATGCTGTAATGTACCAATAATGTAGTAAGTTTCATATAATCAGAGAATCTTGACTACTTCACGCGTCTGCAAATGTTTTGAGAAAGTCACAAGATTTCTGTAAGTATTATGGAGATGCAGAGAAACACTGCAGAGTCCACTTTTGAAACACAACTCAGGCTGAAACATACTCCTATAATCTTATAGTTAGAGAGCTTTGGAACATGCCTAAGATACTCTTAAGGTTGTAGGTTATTATCTTATTCTACTGCACCAAAAAGAGTTGGAAGTCAATTCTTTTCTTTTTCTTATCCTTTTTTCCTCTTTCCCTTCTCCCATTATTCTTTTTCCCCATTATTCTAATTTTTCTTTGTATTTCTGTATTTTATATTTCAATAAACACCAATCATGATGGCGAATAACTGGTTGCAATCAGATTGTTGCTCAGTTACATTACAATCTTAATATAAGATTGTTGTTCATGTAAAGTTGCTACTGTTGCTGATATATATAAAGAAATTATAGATCATATTAATACATTCATTATTTTGTAATAGTCTAATCAAAATGTATAGAAGTTGTGCAGGAAAATAAAGTTGAAATGAGGATCAGCTCCTGACAAGCCTAGTTTTGCATTCCAGTGTGATTGTTAGAAGGTCCTTGTTCCATCACTATAAGCAATGTCTATATATCAAGGAGTTAATCATGGCTTGCAGGCAATATATTCAATAAATTCAAGTACAGTAACTTTATTTTATTTCAGAACTGTATGGTTCTGTGAAAGTAGATATTAGTATAGAGAAATGCTTCATTCATATTCTTGAAAGGGTTAAATGTGGTCAATTCGTTTATAAATTTTGGCTTATTTTCTTACACACTCCAGTTATTCATCTTTGGTACAAGTGGAGTTTCATAGCTGCATCCACAAATATGAAATTGTAAGGTAACTGGACTCTCTTTTAGAGCCAAGAAATGTGAAGTTTTAACAGTGCTGCTCATAGGACTCAAAAAGCTAAGCTAGCGAGAATGTGTTGGTGCAGTCATACTTTTTTCACAAATAACAAATCTGTGTTTGCCATGGTAGCAGACGCCAAGTATAATTCAGTTTTCATTAAGAATATGTATATAGTATGTTTCATAGTGGTATGTATGTCCCTACTTTTGACTACACTGCGTTTTCAAATGTGTACTTCAGGCAAATATTATTTGTACTACTGATTTTTCTCCATTCCTGTCAAAGTAAAAGCTGAAGGAAGGGGTAGGTAATAGGCGGGTCAAAAATCTTAACACCTGAATACTATAGGTTTGGAGGATTTCCCAAGGCACAAGGAAGCCAAAGGACAGAGAGCTCCCCCCACCCCACTCCAAGACAACCTAGGAAAAGATGCAGAATGAATCATATTTATATTTATTTATTTATATTTTATTGAATTTGTATACCGCCCTACTCCCAAAGGACTCAGGGCGGTGAACAGCCATAGAATAAAACATATAGATACAAAATTTAAAATAAACTAAAACAAATTAAATAATTTTGCTGAGCAAATTTAAAACCCCAATAATTTAAAACCAAATTTAAAATTTCCATTTAAAAAGGGGAAAGACTTACGTCAGGCCAGCTTGATGAAATAAGAAAGTCTTGAGCGCGCAACGGAAGGTACGCAGATCCGGGATCCTCTGTATCTCCGGGGGGAGCTCGTTCCAGATAGTAGGTGCCCCCACAGAGAAGGCCCTCCCCCTGGGGGCCACCAGTCGACATTGTTTGGCCGACGGCACCCGGAGGAGCCCCTCTCTATGGGAGCATACTGGTCGGTGGGAGGCTATTGGTGGTAGCAGGTGGTCCCATAAATAACCAGGTCCTAAGCCATGGAGCGCTCTAAAGGTGATAACCAAAACCTTGAAGTGCACTCGGAAAACCACCGGGAGCCAGTGCAGCTCGCGCAGGAGAGGTGTTACATGGGAGCGCCACGTCGCTCCCATCACCACCCGCGCGGCTGCACTCTGTGCCAGTTGGAGCCTCCGAGTGCTGCTCAAGGGGAGCCCCATGTAGAGAGCGTTACAATAGTTCAATCATGGATTGAAAAGAGGGAATTTGTATAAAGAAAAGTACAGGTAGTCCTCTACTTATGACCAAAACAGCGCAATATTTCTGCTGCTAAGTGAGACAGTTGCTAAGTGAACTTTATTCCATTTTATGACCTTTCTTGCCACAGTTGTTGAATGAATCACTGCATTTGTTAAGTTAGAAACACAGTTGTTAAGTGAATCTGGCTTCCCCATTGACTTTGCTTGTCAGAAAGTCACAAAAGGTGGTCACATGACCCCAGGACACTACAACCGTCATACATATGGGTCAGTTGCCAAGCATTTGAATTTTGATCACATGACCACAGGGATGCTGCAACCATTGTAAGTGGGAAAAATTGTCATTAGTCACTTTTTTTCAGTGCTGTTGTAACTTCGAATGGTCTCTGAATGAACTGTTGTAAGTCAAGGCCCTGCTATTCTACTAGGTAGAATAGAATAGAATACTCTATTTGGCCAAGTGTGATTAGACAGACAAGGAACTTGTTTTTGATGCAGAAGCTCTTAGTATACATGCAAAACAGAGTAATAATTATCATATTAATGGTATCAATAAGAGAAGGTAATAGAGAAGACAAGAAAGATAATAATAATGCAGCCCTTCTACATGGATAAATATCCTTGGACATAAACTAAGGATTATGTGGGAATTAGTGTTCAGCAGAGTGATGGCACGAGGGGGAAAAACTTTCCCTGTGTTTAATTGTTTTGGCATTCAATGCCCTATAGCAGCATCCTAAGGGGAGGAGTTGAAACAAATTATGTCCAGGATGTGAGGGGTCTGCATATATCTTCTCAGCGCTCCTTCTGACCGGAGCAATATATAGATCTTCTATGGGAGGCAGGTTGGTTGCAGTCTTAACTATCCATTGGAGTCTCTATTTGTTCTGTTTCGTTTCTGTACCAAACCAAACAATTCTAGAAGTACAAATGACAGATTCAATAATTCCTCTGTAAAACTGTATCAACAGCTCCTGGGGCAGTCTAAATGTCCTGAGTTGGCACAAGAAGAACATTCTTTGTTGTGCTGTTGTGTTGTTCTACCTAGACATACCATTAATGTCTAGAAGTCATAGGAAACATTATTGGATATGGGACATCTTTCTTTCTTTCTTTCTTTCTTTCTTTCTTTCTTTCTTTCTTTCTTTCTTTCTTTCTTTCTTTCTTTCTTTCCTTCCTTCCTTCCTTCCTTCTTTTCCTTCTTCCTTCCTTCCTTCCTTCCTTCCCTCCCTCACTCCCTTTCTTCCCCCTCCTCCTTAAGATTCTACATGTTTTATTTTCATGTGGAAAGGTGTTATGTGACAAAATGAAGTTTAAAGTATTCCCAACCTTGACAAAAAAGAAATGCTACCAAATGTTTTAGCTCTACATGGAGGCCCCTGTGGGGTGCTGGGGTTGCATAAGGTTCTTAAATGTTCCAAATATGGTTTAAAATTAGATTAAATATTAAATTTAATATTAGATTAATATTAAATTTATTATGGCTAAATGGGAAAGAAGAAATAAAGTGGGAGACTGTTTTATTATTGACTTGGAGTCAAGGGCAATACTGACTTTGAAAGAAGGGGATAAAATAAGATAGTGGATAGAACTATTGTCTTTTACATGAAATTCAATCAATCAATTCATTCCAGGCGGTACCTGCCCTCTGGAATGAATTGCCCCCGGAGATTCGTATGATCCCTGACCTACGTACCTTTCGCCGTGCACTTAAGACTTTACTGTTTCAACAAGCTGGGCTGGCTTAATAACGAATTTTAATGGGTGTTTTAGTTTTTAATATAGGGCCAAATTATTTAATATGTTTTAAATTGTTTTTAAATGTTATGGATATGTGTATTTTATTGTGGCTGTGCACCGCCCTGAGTCCCTCGGGTGAAGAGCGGTATGAAAATTTAAACAAACAAACAAACAAACAAATAAACAAATAACAAATAAATAAATAAATAAATAAATAAATAAATAAATAAATAAATAAATGCATATGTGACATGAAAAGGAATGGGGCTTTGGTTGCAGGGTTTCATATACTATATTGAGTTGTTTTTTTAGCCATCCCCTACTCATCTGAGCTGATTGCAGGGTTAGAAAATGCAGACCCAGGGTGTATTAAGTCTACAAACCATCCATTTTTACATTGATGCCTTCCTGATGTGTTGAGAGCCAGTAGTGGTTAAGGCACCAGGCTAGAATCCAGGAGATTGTGAGTTCCAGTCCTGCCTTAGACATGAAAGCTGGCCTGGTGAGAGTGGCCAGTAACCACTCAGGGTGGTTGTTGTGGGGAAAATAGGAGAAAAAGTTAGATATGTTTGCCTCCTTGAATTATTTATACAAATAGTAAAGATGGATGTTAGACTTCTATGTAAGACACTAGTTTACAATCCAACACGACAGGAAGTTATCAGACTGGATAATATTGTACTAGACTGATGAGACCTTTGTGCTAAAAAAGGAAATTTTGTTTAATTTTTACTGCAGCATTGTGCCATCTGCAATAGCTAAAAGGCAGAATTCCAGATAATTATTTTGAAGTAATCAGCCAACTATTTAGCTATAAGCTTTAATAATAACACTTGTGAAAGTACAGACAGGCAGTGCCTTGTATATCCAGCAGAGGGCAGTGATAGCCTAGTTTCATTCTAGCTGGTTAAACAGTTCAAAGAACAAAATTATTTTGTATTTCTGCATAACCAATCTGTAGAACCTGTGGTTCCCCCAAAAGAAAATGCAGTAAGCACTATATTCTCTGCATTATAAATTTTCTCTTGATAAACGATGCAGAGAAGCCCTACAGTCAGCACTTTAATTTGATTTTTGCTTTGGAAAAGTGACCAAATGAAAATGGTGGATAAAGGAAAATGGTGGATAAAAATTAGGTTAAGTCATTTGACACTGATTGGCTCTACAACCTCTCTCTCTCTTGGCTTAAATCTTACTTTTGCCATCAGTAACTAATATACTGGACCACTGCTACTTTCATAATGCAGCTATTTACATTAAAGGCTAAATTACTAAGAGTTTGAGAAGTTGGAATGCATAAAATATTGAGGAAGGTGGGAAATAAAGAACAGAAGTAAAGGAGAGAAGCAAGTACAGAAGAATTGCATGGAATAAATGGGCTCATGGAAATATTTCAACCATTTCTAATCCATTGTTCTTCAGATATATTGCCCTATAATTCTTGGAATTCCCAGCCACCTTGGATAAAATGATAAATTCTAGGAGATGCCATACGGATTGCTGTAAAAGCTTCTAAATTTTTTGAACTGAGAATTTCCCCATCCAATTATTTTTCCAGGACACAGCAATCAAGTGTTTCATATTTTTATACAATTACTATTTTTTTTTCCTTTTCATTATTAAACAAAGATAATTCCAAAGCATGTATACAATAAGATTAAACAACAAGAAAAACTGCAGAAGATAATAAAATCCTAGCTTTGCTGGTTATAGAGGGGATGAATCATCTATTATACAAAAGTATACAAAATTGTCAGATATATAAAGACTTAATGCAATGAAAACACACTTTTTCATGTATTTGATGTTGGTAGTGCTGGATTGTGCCTATTTCTGTATATGTTTTTCAATGAACTACTAATAATATAATTTGCATATCCTAGAATGTGTTTAAAACTCACATTCTATTAATAAAACAATGATGGAATCAACATGATTGTCTCTTTGTGCACATAGTAGTAAACTAAGCCTTTGTAAACCATAGTCAGACTTGGATGATTTAGTAAGTCTTACAAAGGTAACTGTTCTTATGCTCCAGCTGTAACACAGCAATTGTCTGGTTCAGACCCAAGATTTCCCAGCCAGATTCCTCCAAGAAGAAGATATTATCCTGCCATAGCCTGCCAGCTGGATGACTTCTCCCCTTTCCATAAAAAAAATAGTATTAACTGACAAATTGTTCTTTCAAAATTCACCCAGTGAGTTGCAAGAAATAATAATACATGTCAAAATTCTGTATTTCCCCCAAAAAATATCTGAGTGTAGATACACACACACACACACACATATACACATACACAAGGTAACAAAGAAAAATAGTCATGGAAAGGATGTGTAGCGTCCATGACAATACTGGACCCTGGTCAAGCAGCATTCCTATGCCATGTCCTGAACAGAAGGAAGTGAATTTAAAATAATCTTTTCTGCCGTCCTCACCACTCTCTGCACAGCCTTCCTGTCCAAAACAGTAATACCTCCAAACCATACAGTAATACAATATGACAGGATGCTTTCAATCATCCCTCTATAGAAAGTGTTAAGGATAGCGGAAGGGAGATGTGCTTTTTTCATACAACACAGAAAAGGCAGGCGCTACTGTGCTCACTTCACCAGTGTCTCACTGGTGAATGAATGAAAGTAATTGCCGAACACAACTGTAATTGAAGATCAATTTAGGGATGGACAGGGTTTCCTTTATTTCAAATTTTCCCACCCTGGTACTTTCCAGGCATCTTGGAACTATAGCTTCCAGATTTATCAGCAAGTATGACCAAAAGGTTTTCAGTGAGCTGCACTCCTAAAACATCCAAAGGGCACCTGGACAAGTTTTATTTCCACTTTTCACCCTTGTCTCAGGGGTGAAATGCTCCCGGTTCGGACCGGATCGCCTGATCCGGTAGTGACGGCAGCGGGTGGTTCAGAGAACTGGTAGCAAAAATCCCTGGCCCCCCCCATTGCCCAGCTGAGCCACGCAATCATCAGAGGCTTTTTTTAAAAAAAAAGTTTTTAAAAGCATTTTTACTACAACCTTTTCGGCTGAAAAGCATTTTTTCGGCCAAAAAGGTTGTAGAAAAAATGCTTTTAAAAGTAAAAAAATAAGCCTCTGAAGATAGTGCGGCTCAGCTGGGATTGTCAAAGGCTTTTAAAAGCATTCTTTCTACAAAAATACCTCTGAAGAGGTTGTAGAAAAAATGCTTTTAAGAGCCTCTGACGATCCAAGCTGAGTTGCCTGATCGGCAGAGGCTTTTTTTTCTTTTAAAAGTGATCCAAACTGAGTTGCCTGATCAGCAGAGGCTTTTTTTCTTTTAAATGCCTCTGACAATCCAAGCTGAGTTGCCTGATCGGAAGAGGGGCTTTTAAAAGAAAAGAAGCCTCTGCCGATCAGGCAATTCAGCTGGGATCGTCAGAACCTTTTGAATTTGAAAGCATTTTTTACAACCTCTTCACCGAATGGTTTTAAAAGTAAAAAAAAAAAAAATGGCCATGCCTATCCAGTCACATTACCCCCCCCAAGCCATGCCCACAGAACCCATAGTAACAAATTTTAGATTTCACTACTGCCTTGTCTCAATATAAAAAGTTTCCTGAGGAAGGCCCAAAGTAGATAATAGGAAAGAAAGAAAAAAAAATCATAGGTTAACCAGAAGGCAAGTTCAAAAAGTAGAAGACCAGTACAAAAATAGTTAATTTCATTTATATATAAGTTCTCTTATTACATTTGTATGCTGCTAAATCTTTAGATTCATGGCAGCTTTTACTTCCCAGGTGTTTAGTACTGTAATTTGTTCTTTCTATCCAGTAAAATCACAATTTGGTTCCTTTTGAAAACCACATATGCACCCAGTGGCTCAAGTCCTGCATCTCTTTTTTAAAATATTCCAAACAACAAAATGTTGTATCTCAACTGCAAAAGAAAATTCCCTGTACTTCCAATTAATTTCAACAGAATAAAGAACTTGCTATCAATATAATGAATCTCACTCTTCCTGATTTTAATCTGCTATTAAATATGTCTGTAAGAATCCTTGCAGGAAACAGGGCCATTTAAAACAACTGAGATACAATTTTGAGCTTTACATATTACATATATACATCTGTTGTACAGTAGCAGCATAGTGAATAGCAGATATTTAAAAGAAAATATAGGAAGTATGGCACCTAATGAACAGGAGAGATTTTTCAGATTTATAAAAACATTCTTTAAAGTTAGTTAAATGAATTTACTAGGTCATTCCATGACTAAATTTTCAAGATAGTTTAGGATTCATTGCTTTCTTTGTTTTGCTTTTACATCTTGGGTTATATGATGACATAATAGTTGTACCACATCATGAGGTCCAGAGCAGTAGTAATATTGCAACAATTCTTCCCATAATAGTTTTGTCAAAAAAAAAGCATTTTGCAGGATTCATTAAAAAAGAAATGGTTTGGCATCAAACAATTGTAAAAGAGTGTACGAAAATAACACAGCAAACTGAGAGCTGAAGGTATATGAAAGCTCCCTTGGATGTGACAAAAACATTTACAATCTTGGTAAGGTGTAGCATTTTGTTTCTCAGTGGAATCGTGGTTGATTTTGAAATGATGGAACTTATGATAACTTGCAAAGGAAATCTGTAATTATGCACACAGGGTACAGTTTTTCTACTACATTCACTCTGGAGTATTATAAATTCCATCATAAAACAATATTCAAAAGCAAGCAAATAAAGAACCTAGTAATAAAAAAAAAATCTCCTGATTAGGTTTCCTTAACATGATAAGGACTGTCAGAGTTGTATTACAAAAATCTTCATAACATTAAATTGGAGCAAAGAATGTTTTCTGTATCCTTTTGTTGCCCCCTAGTGGTCATCTGGATTTCTGCAGCCTAAATTATCTAGCTCTGAATAAAGGCATCCTTATTATGAAAAAGTGTAGCATGACTATCATGCATAATTACATGCATAATTACTTATAAGACATTCCTTTGAATTTAGCAATTCCCTGCTCTCATCATTCATTAATAAAACACATTGTTTGTATTCAGGCATGTTAAGCAGTAGCTTATTGAGCTATGATTTCTTGATTAAATAAACGATTACGTTTGTAGAACATGTGAGGGCAGAAACCATCATTTCTAAATCACAATGGCTAGATTCACAAAACATTCTAAGTCTAAATCAAGCAACACAGATTATGGATTGTTGCGAGGTTTAAGCCATTGTAGCTTGTTTAGAAACATAATTAGGAGTGTCAAACTTGATTTCATCAAGGGCTGCATCAGGATTGTGTTTGACCTTGGGGGGCCCGGGTGGGCATGGCCAGGGTGTGCATGGCCAGCTCAAAGTCATTCCTGTTTGGGAGGGCCATATGCAGCCCTCCCGAACTCCATTTTCATTGGCAGAGGTTGCAGGAAGCTGTGGCAGCCAAAAACAGAGCTTGAGAGCCCATTTTCTCTGGCAGAAAACTGCGGGCCTGGCCTTCGCTGTTTCCAGGACAGATTTAAGTACCCCGTGGGCCAATCTGCCCCTAGGCCTTGAGTTTGACACCCCTGAGCTAAGACATGGCTTAGTGCAGTGTATGAACCCAATCGGTGAACTTTAATAAAAGATCTTCAGTTAGATGAACTGAAACATTTAGCTCTTTAACAGAAGTGCAAACAACATGCAGCAAAGGAGTGCTACATACCAAATTGGCACCTGATCATTGGGTAAAATGCATCATGGATTTGGTTATTTTTCTCATTCTCTGACTTTTGAAAACTTCATTGTTATTCATGGATTTTCCTGCAGAAGGAGATTTTTTTTCCCCTTCATGGCACCCAGCAAATTATGCAATGGCTTCTGGAGTGACCCTCCATTGCATTTTCCCCCATGCCCTTTTGATTAACAGTAAAGGAGGTTTCATAATGACTTTTCACTCTTGCACATATATTGTACAATTTTCCTCCCATTACCAAATATTTTTACAGCATTGTGACATGAAGCACAATTGACTGAACAATGCTTGAAGTTCTCATCATTGCAAATATTATTTATAATTAGACAAGAGACTTTGCGTCCATCAATTAAGGATCAGTCAGGCTCTCCAGGTTAATATCAGGATCAATGAAACGCAACGTAGGGAGGTGCATTAAGGAGAGGGTATGTGGGGGCACATATAATAATAATAATAATGATCTCATTTGAAGGATTTTCTTCAATCTTAGCATTTCCCTAATATTTTCATCTGAAGCATCCAACTAAGAACTATTTAATCACATGGCTAAAGGGTAGAAGTCTGCTTGAAAGCTACTGTTTGCCTGTCTACTTGGTTCTACCCGCCCTGTTATTTTCTGCTTGGCTTGTTAGCAAACGAAACTATTGTCTCTCTTGCAGCAATTTAGCTTAGATTTGGTGATGGTTGCTTCAAGGACTTTCAAAGGCATTCTCAGAGTTGATCTGTGTCATATTGCAATTTGGCAAAGGAATTGGTTTCCAGATAAGGGACTACCTTGACTTGGCTGAGTAGTTCAGGCTGTACAAGGCTTCCGTTTAGTAGACCAAGATGGATATGAGGATCTTTAGCACGATATTTTGATCTACCATTGCTCTTGGAAACTTAACTGTCTATGATATTGAGGCTGCTGTTAAGAGGTCAGAAGCAGATATTTTTTTGTTGTGAAGAAATTAAGACCATACAATGCTAAGCCATGGTGGTCTTTGTTTGATTTTCGCTTGGTGAAATATATGGACTTAGTTACATATTTGCTTTTTGGCTAGTGTTAGTGCTAGTGTTAGTGTTTTTTTTAGTGTTATGTGGGACACCAGTTTTGTGTTGATGGGTATATTATTCCAGCTATTCTGCAGCAGCACACTTTTTCCAAGAGCTGTAACTACCTTACCAGTAACTTCTAAACAATGCATAAATGAAGAAACAAGTTCCACCTCTCAGATGAGCTGCAGCTGCT